TTCCGGTTGAAACGCAAATTGGCTACCAAGGATGAGCCTGAACCTAAAAAGCTGCAGCGATCACATAAAAGCTCAAAGCCAAATGAAGGTGTATTTGCTGCCTTGTGCTCGACCCTAAGTCAGGCTGTATTACCCGGTAAGAAAACAATCAGCACTGCTCCTGATATTCTCCGAACAGATGGAGGCAAGAATCCAGTTGAAGCAAATCATGAAGAAAAGGGGCATAAAGGCTCTTCTGACCAGGGGAAGAGCTCAGATGTGGACAATCTTGCTGACCAAGAAGAAGTTTCTCCTAGGTGCTTTACAGATGGCTTGTGTGGTTCTCCGGATAACGGACAACATGGAGATGATGGTCCATTGATACCGAAGGCATCACCAGAGATGGCTGTAAATGGATCTTGAAATACATCTTTTTGCTTCCTTTTGTGCTCACTGCCTACATGATTGGTGGAATTGGCGCCAATGGTCTATTGGCTTTGGGCGTTCGACTAACAGACAGGAACCGGCGAAAACCATTCCATCAACACTCAAGAGAGGATATTGTACAGTGCCATTATTTAGGTGTTAAGAAATCATCCTTCCTTCCTAGTGTTTTTTCCTTTACATTTTATTTGACTTATTGGTTCTTTTGTAAACATTTGTTAGCTATAGTTTTCCCTTGTTTTTATTATTTTTGGAAGCACATAATTTTGACTTTTTATGCTTTTTAATTATGTAGCACTTATAGGGCAATAAAATTGCCCTGCACGGGTGTCCCCTAATCTTGCAAGATACGGTAGGTGTAGGTGCACTCGAGAGAGGATGGGTTAAAGCTAATTTTTCAGTTTCACATCCGTGTAATATGTAGTTTGCCGAAGTTCCCCCCTTTTTTTCTTGGGGAGGAAATAGTTTGTATGAACTTGTACATTATAATCTTTACTTGCTGGAAAATTGAAATATTAGCTCCAAAAACATTTGACTGTCTGAATGAATAGATTGGCTCGGACAACAGCCAATCCCGAAGATTTTGGAATCCCACAGATACATGGAAAGGGTAATTTGGATGTTGGGAGCAGCTTAGAGTGATGGATTAGGGCAGTTGTCAGTTAGATGAGTGGGCTAAGTAGAACGGTGCGATAGGCTGCCAGAAATTGAGATGGTGGTGTGGGCAAGTGGCTTGGGGTGGCGGGTAGAGGTTGCCTGAGGGAAGAGATTGGAGCGTTTGATTGAGATTTCCAATTGAGGGTTGTAATTGACGTTTCGTCGCTTCCATGGCGCTCAGGACGAAACATGCTTTTCTCATTCCTTTCTTTTTTCAGATTTAAGAAATACGATAATGTCAATATCAAATACCATGTGGATTCACTGCTTACCAGTTATGAAAGGGGGAGGAGGCATGATCCAGATTGGTGTTAATGCCTTTCGAACACCTTCGGATGATTATAAACTTGTACGATGAAAGTCATTTGAGTTATTATCATAGCTGCGAACAGTTGTCCGTCGCCTGCCCTTGATCCGCTGTGCCTCTGTATTAACAATGGTAATAGAATTGGATGTTGTTTATTCAAAAGAGAAATTAAAATGGTAACAGAAGAATAGGCTGCTTTAAATTCGATTGCAATAGACAAACAAAAACACAAACTTGAATGCCTAGTGACATAACAGAGCATCCAGCAGCAGTAGCAGATGAGAATGGAGGCATTCAACTTCAAATAGCTATCCTAATTTAGGTAGTCGTTGCTGCATAGCATACTACAAGAATCTTTGGAAAACTAATAATAGTTCCTTTAAAAAAAAATCAAGGTCTAACATTCAAAAGAAATATCAAGTTAAACAATTAAGATGGGTTTGCCTTAATTAGGAAAAAAAAATCTTAAGATGAAAAAGTTTCAGATATGGGCACATAGTTACTGATACAAGACGAGATTTTCTTTTTCTTTCTTTTTTTTTTTGGTAAATAATGCTGGACGAGATGGATACTCTTTTATGCAGTGTCGGTAAAATATGGAAATATTAATATGAGGGTTTTGTGTTTCAAAAAGGGAAAAAAAAGGGTTCAGTTTCAATGTTTCATACCAATAAGCAAATAGAGCACAATACTTGTCTATGCAGTTTGCGAGGTTCTCCAATTTTAACAGATTATAATTATGAAATCCAGGCAGATCATGCCTCCAGTAGTTGATGTCACTGCTAATTAAAAATTCAGTATGAAATCCCAGTTTGGTCCAGCAGTACCTCCAAAATAAATCTTGATAAATATCTTAGCATTAGGAAAGTGAAGTTGCTTCATCACCGTGATTGTCCTTCTGCAACCGTAAACCTAGCCCTAAGTAAGAAAATAGCTATTTATTATTTGAGCGGAAACCATAAAACATGGTACTTACCACATATTTATTTGAGGCACAATGTTTTATGAGTTAATATAGACATGGAACAAGCAGGCAAAAAATGGTGAATCTGTATCACCATTTTTTTTCTTTGTCAATCATCACTATCTCCACTTTAGCCTATTTTGGGGTTGACCCTACACTACTACTCTAATCTAGGTGATTCAACTGGATTAAGGGGAATCGACAGAGATTGAATCACCAACAGACCGTACAAGTGCATGTGCATTACGCACTCATCTAATAGGAGGAAAGATTTAAATTCTTGACCTCCCATCACACAAATACTTTAAGTGACCAACTATTCTATTACTAGTTGGTTCGATATCATCCCTTCTTAGAGGCAAACTTTTGAGCTCCCCCAACCCCTCCCCTCCTCTCTATCTTTATGAGCTTCTCACATCGAACTTAATTAAGAATTAGTTACTATTCAAGTTTGCAACAAAATTAATTTGGAAGGCAAGATCGAACTTAATTAAGAATTAGTTACTATTCAAGTTTGCAACAAAATTAATTTGGAAGGCAAGTGTTTGAATTCTTCCAACTGACACAACAGGGTGAGCTTTATCTTTTGTCAATATCTCGTTCTTTTATCAATTTCTAATCATGGTAAATTTTGTAAAAGCCATGCATGCTTATTTCTTACCAAATACAAAATCAGCGGAGCACGTTTCATGTTTATTACGCATCATCATTTTACTTAAATGACAATTTAAGTGTTGCAATTGTGGGTAATTAAGATTAAAAGAAGAAGTGCTAACTATCATCATCTCAAAACAAAAACTTTTTTTTTATGGGAAAAACAAAAACAATTTAAGAAGGGAATTATCAGAAAACCTACTAACTAGTACTAGTATATCATATTCATAATTACATATACATATACATATATATATATATATATATATATATATATATGTGTGTGTGGTTACGATAACATTCCTATAACTTAATCTATTATATTTTACAGGGAGGGGAGTCTAAAGAGGCTAAAGAAGGGAATATATGTGACTACGATAATATTTCTATAATTTAATCTATCATATTTTACAAGGAGAGGGAGCCTAAAGAAACTGAATAAGGGTAGTACTAGTATTAATTATATATATGCGGTTACAATAATAATATTTTTATAATATAATCTATCATACTTTAGATGTAGGAGAGCCTAAAGATGTTGAATACAGGAACCTAATTAATTATATTCTATAGAGGAGAGGAGCCTAAAAATATTAAATAAGAGATTAACAATATATAGACCTAATCAAAATATTTTTCGATTCGAACCTGACCTACTGTCAAAAGAATGGGCTTGTTTGGAAGTGAAGTTTTTGGCCAAGTTTTTTAGCTACTAGTTTTTTAACAACTTTTGCTACAGGAACCCCAAAAAACTTATCAAAGTTTTTTACTTACACACTTCAAAATAATACACAAAAAACTTTCCCTTCAACTTTTCTTTTTTTTCCTCCCCCACCCAACTGGGCACCACTGCTTCCGGCGCCGGTAACTATTCCGACCAACTTTTGCCGGCCTTCCTCTTTTTTTTTGCTCTCCCTCCCTTCCCCATTTGACCGATATGTTGGTTTTCAAAATCTTTTTTTCTTTTTTTTTCTCTCTCCCTCCCCCCTCCCCTCTTTCCCTCTGCCTTTCCCCGCCACCTTCCCTCTCCCGCAACTTGGGGAGAAGGAAAATTGCAAAAAAAAAAAAAAAAAAAAAAAATTACACTCGGCTGTTACTGCTTATTCTGCCGGCAAGATAAGGAGAGGAGAGGGGAGATGGAATATTGGAAAAAAAATCATTTTTGTTGCTGCAAAACTCAGGTGGCGGCAAAAGGAGAGGGAGAGGGAGGGGCGGCGGGGTAGCTTTTGCAGGGGTGGGGGAGGGGGGTTGCGAGCAGAGGGGTGGCGGGGGAACTTTTGCAGAGGGGTGGGGGGAGGGGGTTGCGGGTAGAGGGAGAGGGAGGGGGAGGGGGAGCTTCTGCAGGGGTGGGGGAGGGGGTGACGGGGTAGAGGGGAAAGGCGGGGCAGAGGGCGAAGGCACAGAGGGGGGTGGCGGGGCAGAGGGGAGGAGAAGGGGAAAGGGAGGAGAAGGGTGGCGGGAGGTGGCATTGGTGGAGTTGCTGCTGGGGGTGGCGGAGGTAATGGGGAAGGGAGAGAGGGAAGGAAGAAAAAGAAAAAGAAGAAGAAGAATAAGAGAGGAAAGAAAAGAAAAAGGAAAGAAAGAAAAAGAAAAAAAAAATTTTCATCCTACAAAAACTTCTACAAAATTTTTCATCTTACAAAAATTTCTATAAAATTTTTTCAAAAACTTCTATAGTGCACTACAGTAAAGATTTAGACAAACTCCCAAAAAAACTCATATTACAAACAGACCAAATGATTTAGTCTGCCAACTACTACAATCATAGTAGTACGGTTATACACACGACTGGAAATATAAAAAGTCGGATGCAAATGGTACAGAATCAGTCTGAAAGCGACACGGGGGGCGACCTTTCCACGTGTCGATTGGCACGCGAATTGAATTTCATTCGTCTCATTTGGACCTTGGCTTCTTGCGGAGAATGCAAAAGACTGAAAGAGAAGCCAAAAGTAATAAGAATAGAACTCTCCGTCTTCTCTCTCGGCTAAACCGATCCTCCGCAAAACCAAAATCCAAAACCTCAGAAAAGAATGTATCACTTTTTAGCCTCGGTGGTAGCAAGACTGGAGCCTTGTTTCGCGAGAAGAGATTGGGTTTTAATATGTAGTATGGGGCTCGCTTCTTTTCTCTGTAAAAAAGCAGATATAGATTTTGAACAATACGAAAACAGGCAAACTGAGGACAAAGCAGATATTGATTCTCACATCAATCTGTTGTTCGAGAAGAGATTTGAACCTCGTATCCATCCCACGGAGGAGGAGGTGGTTAAGACCCAAGGTTTAAGAGTAAATCTCTCCTCCTTCTTGCTTTTTTTTTTTTAACTCAAAAGAAAGCAAAAAAAGAAAAAACGGAGCTCTTAAACCCTAATGGCTTTGAATATGTTTGCAGGATCTTTTTAAAGATCTTGTGACTAACGCAGAAATATGTGAGGATGGACTTTCTAAGGTAAATAATACCTTTTTCTATCCCCGTAATCGTTTTTTGTGCTGAACGAACATCAAACTACGTAAGGAGTGTAAAGTCCAAGTTGAGCCCTTTTGTTTAGTTGCTAATTTGCTACTAGTACTACTATTTTTTTTTTAATGTTTTTCTTTAGCTGTTTGTGGATGATTTGATTTTCTTTCGTAGCCTGTTATGTGGGTTTTAGTTTATGACCTGAATGAAGTAGTGAATAGTGATGGCCTCTTTCGGTCCCATTGGGATGTATGATGCCTGATGAATGATTTTCTCGTAATTTTTGTTGAACAGGCGACAATTGGGTAACTCGATGTTTATATGATGTTATTAATTCCTTGTGTGATTGGTGATTATCAGCTTCTAATTGTATTTTTAGATTCTGCCACGCTACGGGGTGAATAAATTCACCCCACATTCTGGTGACGTGTTTGATCCAAACAAACACAAGCTTGCTTTCTTTGTTCCTGATCCAAATAGGGAACCCGGACTAGTAGCAGTAGTGAAGCGGGTATGTAATTGGCCTATTATTATTATTATTATTATTATTATTATTATTATTATTATTATTAATTCGCGTTGTGCGTTTGCTTCTTCAAGGATGGATACATTTATGGGGATGAGGTTATCAGGCAGGCTGAGGTAGGCGTAACGCGTGGAGTTGCGACGCGGAGGAGCCGACGACCATCTCCCATCCCGTCACAGTGACCAGTCCGGGCCTTTTTTTCTTAGCTACCTCTACTACTGGTCTGCTACTACCATGTCTACCATTTTGTTATATTTTTTGGATTTTATTTAATGGTTTATTCGTATTCTGTGAGAAGAAACAGATCTGCTACTTCATGACTAGCGACTTCACAGCAGCTCTACTACTATATTTTGGATTTTGCTGCTGCTACTATATTTTGGTACTTGTTGGATATTATTTGATGGCTAGTTGGGTTGGTTTGGGTTTCTTTATGAAGAAAAAGAGGCAGCTGTACGTGTTTTCTTCAATTATCAACCTCCGGTATTGTCACAATAACAATTGATGGTTAAGCGAACAATTGATGAATTAGTGAAAGCTGTAGGTGCGAGAGAGGATGGCTTAAAGCTAATTTTTCAGTTTCACATCCGTGTGATATGTAGTTTGCCGAAGTTCCCCGTTTTCTTTCTTGGGGACGAAATAGTTTGTATGAACTTGTACGCTATAATCTTTACTTGCTGGAAAATTGAAATATTAGGCTGTCTGAATGAATAGATTGGCTCGGACAACAGCCAATCCCGAAGATTTTGGAATCCCACAGATACATGGAAAGGGTAATTTGGATGTTGGGAGCAGCTTAGAGTGATGGATTCGGGCAGTTGGCAGTAAGATGAGTCTTCTAAGTAGTAGAACGGTGCGCTGGGCTGCCAGAAATTGAGATGGTGGTGTGGGCAAGTGGCTTGGGGTGGCAGGTAGAGGTTGCCTGAGGAAAGAGATTGGAGCGTTTGAGTGAGATTTCCAATTGAGGGTTGCAATTGACTTTTCGTCACTTCCATGGCGCTTAGGACAAAACATGCTTTTGTCATTCCTTTCTTTTTTCAGATTTAAGAAATTCGATAATGTCAATATCAAATGCCATGTGGATTCACTGCTTACCAGTTATGAAAGGGGGAGGAGGCATGATCCAGAATGGTGTTAATACCTTTCGAATGATTATAAACTTGTACGATGAAAGTCTTTTGAGTTATTATCATAGCTACGAACAGTTGTCCGTCACCTGCCCTTGGACCGCTGTGCCTCTGTGTTAACAATGGTAATAGAATTGGATGTTGTTTATTCAAAAGAGAAATTAAAATGGTCACAGAAGAATAGGCTGCTTTAAATTCGATTGCAATAGACAAACAAAAACACAAACTTGAATGCCTAGTGGCATAACACAGCAGCTGTAGCAGATGAGAATGGAGGCATTCAACTTCAACTAGCTATCCAAGAGCAGAAAGAAACACACGAGTCGGAATGGGGATCATTGCAATAAGTAGACACAATCAGGTGGGGGTAGCGTGGGCACTAAATGATCGAAGCTTAGGAAATCAACTATTGTCAAACCACGGAGGAGGTCTTAAATTTGTACTTACTATCACATATTTAATTTTTGTTAAACACAAAACTTACTTTCTAATACTACTTGGCATGTAGCACAAAAGACAAATTTGGTACAAATTTCTCATTTCACTCCTTAAAATAATATTTTAATCGTCTGGACTGAATATGCAAAAAATCAATAAGTTCAAGGGAGGTCAGTGCAATTTCTCAAACCACGGAGGAGGTGAGTGCAAGTGTCAGAAATCTCAGAGGAGGTTTCTGCAATTTTCCCTCATTCCACTCCCTAAAATAATATTTTAATCGCCTGGACTGAATATGCAAAGAATCAGTAAGTTCAAGGGAGGTCAGTGCAATTTCTCAAACCACGGAGGAGGTGAGTGCAAGTGTCAGAAATCTCAGAGGAGGTTTCTGCAATTTTCCTTTATTAATATGATAGGTTATGTTAGAAGTGTTAAAATGAATGATTTGGGCGGGTTTGGATTAGTTAAAATAAGCAATGGGTATCAATGAGTCAATCCATTTATATCCATTTAATTAGATAGATATAATTGGGTAAATCAAAAAATGAATTGGGTAACCCAATTTTTCATTTATGACTCATTTATATTAACTTTTTGTAAAGTCATTTAAATTTATTTTTACAAACTAAGTTATCAATTTATACCATCATTTGCACTCATCATTAGTTTTAAATATTTACTTATAATGCTCAATAAGCCTAATTATTAATTTTTTTCCCATTCACTCTCTATGTCGCAAAATTACATACTATTTAACAATTAAACAATAAAAATATAAAAATTTGAATTAAGTACTGTGAAAGTTAACATAAAAACTTAATTCAAAAACTTGGAACCCCTAGCCTTTCTTTCGTGTGTAAATTTAAAATTTCATTTTGGAAAGGTAGAAAAAAAGGCTAAAACTTGTCATAAATTGATAATACTAAAAAATGAACAAGTTAACAAACTACGAGAAAATAAAATAATAAGATAAAATCAACAAATAATAGTAATAATATGAATAATAATGAAAAAAGTAGATAATATCATGACAAAATGAAGGATAAAAAAATGGATGGGGAAAGAGAGGATATTTGGCGGAAGATAATTCTAAATGTTGAATTTGATGGGTTACCCAATAATACCTATTTTATATCCATATGTAAAAATTTAAGATACTCATATCCATTTATTTATAGGCGGGTATTAAATTTATTTAAATAGGTTTGTTTGTCACCTATAGGTTATGTGTAATTTAGATGTAATGAATTTTTTTACGGTACACTCTTTGACATACGTGAATTTCACTTAATCTATAATATATATATATATATATATATATACACACACACATATTAATAATTATTACTCTACCTTGCATTTATGCACTTTCCCTAATTAATTTTACTTTTTTAAAAATCTAATACCTGAATTACATCTTAACGAGTGCCTATTGGGCACTCTTTAAACAGGCCCTAAATATATTAACGGATATACAATTAGTAATACCTTTTTTTATTTATTTTGATTAGTTGTGAACTCATGTGAGGTAAGAATAAATCAAGCAAAAAATAGCCAATTTTTACATATTTATTCTAAAAATTATTGCAGTTTAAATATCCAACTGCCTTCAATTCGTAAACCCTTTTGTAAAATTTTTTTATAATGTGAAATCGAAGTTCCATACCTTGCAATTGGATCATAACACTTGCCTACTTACAAATCATATCTACTCGACAAGTTTTTCATTTTTCCTTTTCCTTTTAATATTTTGGGAAAAAAGGTACAGCCACGTAAACGTATAGTAAACGATCCGGTAGATGAGTTGCACCAATAAATCTTCTTGGAAAGATGCCTGATCCTATCCCCATGGGTGAAGAGCAGATGCTTTCTTTCTGCCCAATTTGGAGATTCAAAGTTCAAACTACATCCTCCAAGAGTATCAACACATGAGTTTGGTTTAAATTTCCCCACCAGAAAAAGGACTACAACCAGTAGTGGCTTTACTAGTGAATTGATTGTAAGCAAATTCAGCATGATTCAAGAGAAGATCCCACTCTTGGAGTGGATATCGTTTTTCACCAAGCTTCTCAATCAAAAGGGTTCTCCAAAAGTGACTCAATAATAATGTGAAGTCACGATATGAAGTGATAAGACTTGGGAACTCCACGAGGCTTCTTATAACAATGTATAAACACGCAAAAGATGTGCTCTAATTATGACTGTTGTCCAATGGAAAACAAGTACTACTACAAAACAACTTCATCATACAATATCAAAAGTCATCCTTGATTCAAGCAGCAGAGAGGACGCATCTACCCAAATGGCTACTCGTTTAATATACGATCACTACTACCCAGTCCAATAACTCAGCAAGCAAGCGTTGAACTTAGAATATTCCCGTAAGGAGATTCGCTGCAGTTGATATGGCTGCACCAGTTATGGCACACTGCACGATCTGCTCGTGCGAATGACCATCTGACGTTAGTGCCAATGCAGCCCCAGTAACAGCTCCAGCTAATGCGCTGTTTTTCTGCAGTGAGATCATGAGACAAGGCATTACTGCTGGTCATACATTAAATTCAAGCATTTTTGTTGCCTAGTTCTCGAAAACAAAAGTTGATTCAGTTCTGGACAGGCATGAAAAAAAGACTCAGTCGGACGAGATGGACAACACAGCAATTTCAGCATATACGGAAAACGGCTTTAGATTATTAACATATATCAGATTCAGGTATTATGCATCATATATTACAAATCCAAGCATATTTCTTGCCTAGTTCTTTAAAAATAAGATGCAGAATGATTATTGCATAATCTTCTCAATGCAACAAGCATTGAATAGACTCCTCCTGTTACCATCTGATCAGATATTCTCTTCAACATCTTCAGCGACCAAATGTACAGCGCAGCTAATTTAGAGCGAGAATTACGTTAAAACCCGTCAGAGGTAGGTTAACCCGATATTATGCATATAAAAATGTGCTAAGATATTGAACCTTGCTCTATCTTGAAGGATTTTAGCTAGATGTTACAAAAAGCAGTGGAGAAAGTAAAAGTGAGACGAGTATCCCCATAAAGTCATGACCATGCAAATCAAAATGCACCATGATTACCCAATCATGAACTCCACGAGCCTCCTTTAATCCATATGTAAGACCAGAATACATTCCAGCAGCCAATCCTGCAGAGAATTTCAACAAAAGATCATTACCAAGTCCTCAATCCGTATGCTGAGCCCAGAAAAGGTGATTATGCCTTATTTTTTAACCCACACCCACCAGACAATTTTATTTCCCACTTTTTCTACACCTAGAAAAATGCCAAGACTTCCCCTTACTCGAAATCATACGCACACATATTCTAGATAGAATCAAATATATACAAACATATTCCCTAAAGTCATGCGGTTGCTATATGACATGAAGCCAGCATGATATTTCTCCTATAAAATAGTATACAAATTCAATCGTTTTTTTTTTGGGGGGGGGTGGGGGGTGTGGAGAGAGGAGGAAAGATAAAATCTATTGGCACTCTTACCCCATTGTAGAGATTCTTTTCCAGTGCCCTTAACCTACACAGAGGAAGAACCGTAAAGATGAGTATCAATAATGCCTACCAACAATATAATTGTATTGTTTAAGACCTAATAAAGATTCAATCATAATAAAAAGCTAATGGACATCGCTACAAGAACATGAGTGGCTTTTTTGCATTAGCACATGAGGCAAAGTCAAATGTTCTAGGTTAACTTATCACTTGATTCAAAACAAAATAGAATAAGTTTGTCATTTGGAATAGAATAACTATGTGAAACATACCAAAGCTTCCACAGTCTTTGCATTAGTTTCTCCTGCAAGGAATTAGAACAATTTTAATATGTCTGGAGAAGAGTGAAATTTCAAAACGTCAATTCTCCACCAAAATAATAATAATAATAATAATACTAAGATAAAACCAAAAGATACAAGGATACTTCCATTTAATTGGAAAGCTATAATTTCCATTGGCATACATGGCCAAACAAACTTCTAAAAAGTCAATCTACATGATGAATGCATATCAAGGGCATAGTGAAGTAGACAAAGCTCTTTTGCAATAAGAGTTTTACCTGTTTCTCTACGAGGGGGAAGCAATTATATAGTGCATTATAGTAGAAAAGAAAAAGAAAGAAAGAGAACATCTTAAATGCTCCAACCTAAAAATCAAATTTGCTTAAGACTTGCGGGGTTCTCGAGAATATATAGTTCACTTGAAAACCAAATGGTGCTTATTCCTGTATCTGATTTCAACTGTCCCATTAATCCCCCACAAACTCATTATCATAAGAAGTTGCAAACTACAATCCTGCTAAAAAAATGTCAAGAAAATTTAAAGCGCTGTCCTCTTTCGCTAGTTTCAAACAAAAGGTAGATAATAGAGTCAAACAATCACCCATGAAAGAATGATCAATAATGTTGAAATGCATTGTCTCGTGCTGAGACTGATATATAAGTCCAACAAAAAATTATTATAGGTAATACTCAATGG